GTCGATCAATTAGTACAACATCATAATCCAACTCATATAAAATACCTTACAAAAGAATTTCTTTTATAAAGAAGCAATTTGATTCATATTCAATGAACATACCATCATATTGCGGTAGACAGTCGCATGAAGCAAGTTGATAATGATCAGATATTATAGTTCTTTCCTCAAAATTACATGTACTTCCATTCGTACATAAACATGCAAGAATATCCAAATACGTTTGGAATGTAGAATTAGATCCATATTGTATTGTCAATCTAGAATAAATAGCTATTATAATCGTGTCATTATCTTTGCTTTTTATTACAATATTTGGTCAAAAAATGATCATCAAATTTCTTTAAAGTCGAAATACTGCAATACTGTTTTATGGAGTCCTCACAACAGGCTTCAAAGCATAATAAACAAATCAAATATTTTTCTTTGTGTCTATTCATGAAATTATCATTTAACTGTTAGATTTGGTTTTATTTCCCTACACTTATGTGAGCTAGAGCATCGACTTAGAAACAAATTCAATTCAAATTCTTTCTCAGTGTTTTTTTTAATTTCATTATATAGACAAATAATCATGATATCTGTCTCGAGGATTTTTTCATTCATATCGATTTACTTCTACAACTCAGTGCAGAATAATCAAACATAAATGTCATCAAACGATGGATCTTGTTGGTTTCTGTATTCAATAGAGCTTCTTTAGAATTATGGTCACATAATGAATAAACGTGATCATTATTTAAAAACAAAAGGAGCATTAATTTCTTCATTGAAACAAATCAATGATATTTTAAAACTTATTTATTGAAACGAAAGTTCAAATTCGCTTGTTGAATGTTCTACATTAGAAAAATGTCTTCAATTATTGAGTATCTAATGATTCACAATGAATCAATCCATGTATGATTCTTTCACGAATTTGATGACGAATGAAAAAATGTATTTCATTGAAGTTTACTTTAGTATTAAAAAAGCGTGAGAAGCAAAAAATGATAATCTGAATATTTCTTTTTATGATTTTATAAAAATAAAACTGAGTTCAAACGAAAAACGTTTCTCCATTTCGCGAGAGCTAATTTCAAACAACTTTTTCTAAGAATATAGACTTTTTAGAAAGTTCTTACAAACTCGATGAAAATATATATAAAACCCTAAATAATCCGTTGTATAGTTGAAAATACTTACAAAACTTCAACAGAACTTCTTGCAGTGGTCGGCATTGGCACTATGATAGATGGCAAACCATTATTATTGATATTTTGTGTTGTATTAAATGGATAAATAGTGACATGAGCACTTCTTATAGGTGTTCCATCACCAGCGATAATATTAATTTCAAATGAATAATTACGATTTGTGTTATCAATTGGTAAGATGATTTTAACAGGTAATATCAAATCGACCGTCGGAGACCTTTCAGCTATTTGAATTTAACAAAAAGGAAGAACATAGAAGAATTATTTTCCAATGAAAATTTTACCTAATGCAATTCTCGATTCTTTTATTATTCTTACTCCTGAAGCTGTTGCTTGACTAGTAAAAGCATTTATTCGAATGAGATAATCATGAATACATTCAAAATTGTCATGACATGTTTGATTGACAATACGTGGATTCAAAGTTGTAAGAAAGTTTGACGCATTCTTATAATACCATTCTACTAAACTTCTTGGCATAATAGGTTTTCTATTGTCTAATGTTATGTCATTCGGTACTTTCCCTAAAAAGAAAGTTTTCGTACTAAGAATTTTGATATTTCTTGATTGAAATTTACATGAAAGACAAGCTTCAAGAACAGCTTTATCATGTTCCGATGCTGGTAAGTTCGATGTGTTTTCTATTGGAACTATCTGATTTGTTTCTCGATTAAATAGATCATCATTAGAATCTCCATTGAAATTTCCTACTAGACCTTCAATATGTGTTCGAAATTTTTCTGGTAATATTAGTTTACATTCGAGATTTTCACCAATAATTTCAAATTCCATAGAGAGACCTAAGAACAAGAAAAACAAAATATCTCTTTTATCTGTATATAAAATAAAGACAAAGATAAAATCACTTACCAGACCATAGAGAAATGGTCAACTGTGGTATTGTGCCATTTAATACAGCTCTAACTGTTTGTTGTACTCGATAAATATATCGTTCTGTATAATTCATTGTATTTATATGATCATAGTTCAAGTTATTTGACAAATAATTTGTAAGTGTTGAATTATTGTTAACAGAAAAGCCTTAAACACACATGATTAATTTATTTATTATTGATTTGAAATATTCATTACGAAATTTGCCATTATTATTACTGATGACAAAAGTAAAACGGACAGCAATTATAGTATAACTTGAAAACACTAAACCATAACCATGTGTTCGTTCAATATAAGACAAGACTGGTGGCACAAATATAGAACGAACATAAATTTGAAATAAATCATCAGGATATATAAGATTAATATTCAATGCATTGCTATGGAGATTATTTTGTGCAATTGTTTGAGCTTTGGTGGTCGTTTGAGCAAAGACAAAAAGACCTTGTATGTGATATGTATATCGACCATCATCAATTGTATTAACATGAGGATCGCCAACACCGGTGACTACAATAATGAAATATGAAATAGAGAACTAAAATAAAACATTACCTATAGCTGGAGGTCGATATTCTTTACAACTACTTGGTGGATGAAGTTGATAATAGAGATAACATAGTTCCCAATCAGGGCGTCCAATTATATGCGAAGGTGAACAACATTGGTCACTAAAATCATCTAATAAATACAATAAATACAAAAGAAAATAAACTTACTAGAATGGAATTCGTCTTTGCCAAGAATATGGTAGAAAAAGAATGTATGGATTTGATAAAACTGAACCGGCATGACTACCAAAAGTAATTAGTCCTTGACTAAACCAGTAGTAACAACATGTCTAAAATCAGAAATATATTTTGTTCATTTAATACACTATAAAGTATGCATCTTCGTACTTGTGACTTGAGTAATTTAAATGTCTGACCTACATTTATCCAATTAGTAGTCCTTCGTGCATAACAAACGATATCTTGACCATTTTCATATTGAGTTTTACTAAACAAACGACCAAAACGAGTGTCGACTTGTGCTTGTCGAAGTGTACAAGGACATGGAAATCGAGGATTTATTCTAAATGCAACAAGAATAATCTACTAGGAAAACAGAATCTTAATCCATACATTATATCATTTAGATTCTCCCAAGGATTCAATATATTTATTGTTGTGTCTTGTAAAAAGCTCACTTCACATTGACTTGAGAAACGACCACCAACATAAAAACTTATTTTATCACGTTATGCTAGAAGAATATTATAGAATGAGAGATAAAAAGATTGGTCATTCAAAATTTGAATTGGAAATTTTTGTCCACGATATCCTTAATAGTAAGAAAAAAAGACGATTGATATTTAAATAAAACTATACAAAAAGCAATGAATAACATACCAACAAAAGGTCTAAGATATGCAAGGTCACTCGTAAGATTTGTATAATCAAATGCAATATATGATCGAAGAATTGGATAACTATAGTGTCAATAATCAGATTCATATGTATTTATCAAATATGCTGAGAATGATACAAGCTTTAAAATGAAATAAACAAAGAAAAATATTTAACACTTAAAAAATATTGAGAATAATGCTTACTATTGACTTATTAATATAAGATAATTCATATGCAAGATTTTGCCAAGTGATTCGAACAACTCTTGCGGCTATAAAATCCAATGAACAAGAAAGTGTTGGACAAGCTGACATGATGACTGATTAAATCACATTGCTGTAAGCACTTGCATCACTACCAGTAGAATTGGTTGATCTGAGCCAGGTAATAGTGATATGTGAATAATTCTGAACAATTGTTTTTATACCAATTTAGAGAAAAAAGAGAGTCATTTGATTAAATAAATTGCTTACAGAAATATAACTCAAATCAGCCCAAAATGGAGCTGCAATAGCTTGATTGATGTATAAGGTGTATCAAATGTAATGTAACCTTTATTAGATATCTATAAAAAATTTGAAAATATTTACAAACGATTACATTTACTCAACAAAATAATCATACCCAAATACGACGATAAGTTTGTTCAAAAAAATACAATGTATCAGGTAATGAATAAGAAATAATTCGTATGGTCGGATCTCGATCAGCAGTTGATGGAATAATAATGATTGCTAAAGAGATTAGNGAAATTTACATGAAAGACAAGCTTCAAGAACAGCTGTATCATGTTCCGATGCTGGTAAATTCGATGTGTTTTCTATTGGAACTATCTGATTTGTTTCTCGATTAAATAGATCATCATTAGAATCTCCATTGAAATTTCCTACTAGACCTTCAATATGTGTTCGAAATTTTTCCGGTAATATTAGTTTACATTCGAGATTTTCACCAATAATTTCAAATTCCATAGAGAGACCTCAGAACAAGAAAAACAAAATATCTCTTTAAATCTGTATATAAAATAAAGACAAAAATAAAATCATTTACCTGACCATAGAGAAATGATCAACTGTGGTATTGTAACATTTAATACAGCTCGAGTTGTTTGTTGTACTCGATAAATATATTGTTCGCTATAATTCATTGTATTTATATGATCATAGTTCAAGTTATTTGACAAATCATTGGTAAATGTTGAATTATTGTTAACAGTAAAACCTTAATTAAATACATAAATGATTAGTTTATTTATTATTAATTTGAAATATTCATTACCAAATTTGCCATTAATATTACTAATGACAAAAGTAAAACGGACAGCAATTATAGTATAACTTGAAAAAATTGAACCATAACCATGTGTTCGTTCAATATAAGACAAGGCTGGTGGCACAAATATAGAACGAACATAAATTTGAAATAAATCATCAGGATATATAGAATCAATATTCAATGCATTGCTACAGAAATTATTTTGTGCAATTGTTTGAGCTTTGGTGGTCGTTTGAGCAAAGACAAAAAGACCTTGTACGTGACATGTATATCGACCATCATCAATTGTATTAACATGAGGATCGCCAACACCAGTGACTACAATAATGAAATATGGAATAGAGAACTAAAATAAAACATTACCTATAGCTGGAGGTCGATATTCTTTACAACTACTTGGTGGATGAAGTTGATAATAGAGATAACATAGTTTCCAATCAGGACGTCCAGTTATATGCGAAGGTGAACAGCATTGATCACTAAAATCATCTAATAAATACAATAAATACAAAAGAAAATAAACTTACTAGAATGGAATTCGTCTTTGCCAAGGATATGGTAGAAAAAGAATATATGGATTTGATAAAACTGAACCGGCAAGACTACCAAAAGTAATTAGTCCTTGACTAAACCAGTAGTAACAACATGTCTAAGATCAGAAATATATCTTTTTCATTTACTATACTATAAATGATGCATCTTCGTACTTGTGACTTGAGTAATTTAAATGTCTGACCTACATTTATCCAACTGGTAGTTCTTGGCGCATAACAAACGATACCTTGAGCATTTTCATATTGAGTTTCACTAAACAAACGACCAAAACGAGTATCTACTTGTGCTTGTCGAAGTGTACAAGGACATGGAAATCGAGGATTTATTCTAAATGTAACAAAAATAATCTACTCGGAAAACATAATATTAATGCATACATTATATCATTTAGATTCTCCCAAGGATTCAATATATTTATTCTTGTTTCTTGTAAAAAGCTCACTTCACATTGACTTAAGAAACGACCACCAACATAAAAACTTATTTTATCACGCTGTGCTAGAAGAATATTATAGAATGAGAGATAAAAATATTTTTTAAGCAGTTAAATTAAATCCTGAGAAATGCAGCATTTTGATAAAAAGATTGGTCATTCAAAATTTGAATTGGAAATTTTTGTCCACGATATCCTTAATAGTAAGAAAAAAAGACGATTGATATTTAAANCATCAATACTAAGAGTTGGATTATTAGTAACAGAAAAACCTTAAACATATGAATGATTAGTTTAGTTAGTATTGATTTGAAATATTCAATACCGAATTTGCCATTATTATTACTGATAACAAAAGTAAAACGAAGAGCAATTATAGTATAACTTTAAAAAATTGAACCATAACCATGTGTTCGTTCAATATAAGACAATGCTGGTGGTACAAATACAGACTGAACATGAATTTGAAATAAATCATCAGGATATATAAGATCCATATTTGATAGATTGTTATTTAAATTATTTTGTGCAATTGTTTGAGTATTGATGGTTGTTTGAGCAAAGACAAAAAGACCGTTTATGTGACATGTATATCGACCATCATCAATTGTATTAACATGAGGATCACCAACACCAGTGCCTACAATAATAAAACAATTATTATTTATATTTAGTAATCACTATTAAAGAAATATGTAATAAAGAAGTAAGACAAAACATTACCTATAGATGGAGGCCGATATCCTGAACAACTACTGGGTGGATGAAGTTGAAAATAGAGATGACATAGTTCCAAATCAGGACGTCCAGTTACATAAGAAGGTGAACAACATTGGTCACTAAAATCATCTAATAAATACAATCAACAGAAAAGAAAAGAAACTCACTAGAATGGAATTCGTCTTTGCCAAGGATATGGTAGAAAAAGAATGTATGGATTTGATAAAACTGAACCGGCAAGAGTACCAAAAGTTATTAGTCCTTGACTGAACCAGTTGTAACAACATGTCTAAAATCCGAAATATATTTTGTTCATTTAGTACACTATAAATGATGAATTGTCGTACTTGTGACTTGAGTAATTTAAATGTCGAACCTACATTTATCCAGCTAGTAGTCCTTGGTGCATAACAAACGATACCTTGAGCATTTTCATATTGAGTTTCACTAAACAAACGACCAAAACGAGTGTCGACTTGTGCTTGTCGAAGTGTACAAGGACATGGAAATCGAGGATTTATTCTAAATGCAACTCATAAAAATTTACTAGGAAAATCGAATATTAATACATACATTATATCATTTAGATTCTCCAAAGGATTCAATACATTTATTCTTGTTTCTTGTAAAAAGCTGACTTCACATTGACTTAAAAACCGACCACCAACATAAAAGCTTATTTTATCACGCTGTGCTAAAAGAGTATTATACAATGAGAACTAAAAAGAATTTTTAAGTAGTCAAATTAAATACTGAGAAATGCAGCATTTTGATAAAAAGATTGGTCATTTAAAATTTGAATTGGAAATTTTTGTCCACGATATCCTTAATAGTGAGAAAAAAAACACGATGGATATTTAAATAAAATTATACAAAAAGGAATGAATAACATACCAACAAAAGGTCTAAGATATCCAAGATCACTCGGGAGACTTGTATAATCAAATGCAATATAAGATCGAAGAATTGGATAACTATAGTGTGAAGAATCAGCTTCATATGTATTTATCAAATATGCTGAGAACGATATAATCTTTAAAATGAAATGAACAAAGAAAAATATTTAACACTTAAACAATATTGAGAATAATTCTTACTATTGATTTATTAATAGAAGATAATTCATATACAAGATTTTGCCAACTGATTTGAACTACTCTTGCGGCTAGAAAATCCGATGAACAGAATATTGATGGACAAGCTGACATGATGACCGATTGAATCACATTGTTGTAAGCACTTGCATTACTACCAGTAGAATTGGTTGAACTGAGCCAGTTAATTGTGATTTGTGAGTAATTCTGAACAATTGATTTAAGATCGATTTAGAGAAAAAAGAGTTATTGATAAAATAAATTACTCACAGAAATATAACTCAGATCAGCCCAGAATGGAGCTACAATCGCTTGATTGATGTTTTGTCGAAAGGCAGAATTTGTCATTGTTTGTGCATAATAAGGTGTATTAAGTGTAATGTAACCTTTATTTGATATCTATAAAACAATTGAAAATATTTAGAAAAGCTTAATTTTTGCTAAAGTTTATAATGATACCCAAATACGACGATAAATTTGTTCAAAAAAATACATTGTATCAGGTAATGCATAAGAAATAATTCGTATGCTGGGATCTCGATCAGCAGTTGGTGGAATAACAGTAGTTGCTGAAACGTATTAAAAAGAGAAAGACATTTTATTTGTATAGATAGAAATATAATGAAATACACACTTTCACAAGGTGGAGAAGAAGAACATGTTTCATTTCGTTGTGAATCACCACCTCCACAGAGAGAAGTTGGACAACTTTGTCCAGTATTAGCAACGATACACAATCGAACCACAATTCGATATGCTGGTCCACAATTTGGAGTACAATTAGTCAATGATACCCAACTGGTCCATAAACACACTACAAGGTAGGAAAAAATATTAGAAAAGCGAACAAAAATTTTATATCATTACCTTGTGGCATTGCTGTTGTTGTTGTCGTTGACGATGAAGTTTCACTGGTTAATTTTTCGGTAGGGATGGAGATCAAGGTTGAACTTTGAGTAGGTACCATAGTCGATGGTGAGAAATTAGATTGTGAAGTAGAAATAAACAATGGTGTTTGGCTACGTTCGGATGTTACTTCGCTTATGTGAGTGGACATGACACCAGTTTGAAAATCACTTGAAGTTAAATGAACAATAGTTGTTGATTCTGTTGTACCTGTCACGGTCACTGATGTACCTATACATAATGAAAGAAAAATACTCCAAATACAATTATCTTCAATTATAGAATGTTTTTCTTTAAAGATTGAGCTTCTTTTAGAATAAGATTATTCATTATAGTTTGATAAACTTCTGTATATTATTTTGCTTCATTGTTGTTGGGACTTTTTTAACTATATAAATGCTCTTGACATCTATACTTTTCTTTAGACTACAAATAATTAAAACGTCCAAAATGAGTCTGAAAAAACATTGCTCAACAATCAACATTGAATACGCATCACTAGTTTTAACTAAGCATTGACATTATTTGATTAATCATGTATTCCATAGTTTTCTTTGAGGAAAAAAAAACCGTTTAGAAAAATACTTACTATCTTCTTCTGTAGTCGTGTCACTGCCATCTGTAGATCCTTCATCATGTGTGACTATTTGAAACGATGAAATAATATCTTGAGAATTTACCAAACGATAACCTTCCAGTAACAGTTGGTCTTGATCAGAATTATCAACTGACGATGAAAAATGTTTATCGGTATCATCACGATTTTTGATAGATGAGAATTTACCTATTGTTCCTGATAGCTCAGCATGAAGACGTTGATTATTCTCATTAGCCGATTCATCAGCATCTGAATGTGAACCTAAGAAAAAATCATAGTTACTTCATTAAGTAATTTTGTTTTATTAAAATTTTCTGCAGCATAACTCATGTGAATTATTATAGGAAAATAAAAATGAATATAAAAATCATCATTTTAAAAAATCTTTCTCCAAGAATGTATTATTTCATTTATATAACCAAGCTCTAGAAAAAAAGCCAATATCCACTGAACCTTATTCTACATGTTTATACATATAAAATAGATGCTGTTATTAAAAATTTTTGTGGTCCTTGATTATAAGTTTCATGGGGAAAATAATAAAAGATTAATTGAATTAGATGAATCAATTGTAAATACTCAATAATTTGAGCACTTTTGGTGGTTCATTTTGTACTTATATGATCTTTTTTGAATCCTTATACTATTACCTTTTACAATAGAAATTAAGATTGTAATTGTAATCAAAAATAGTAACCAACTAGTTGGTGGTAATTTTATCGAAAGGATTCCATATTTTAAGTTCATGATCTAATAATAAATAAAAAGGATAGGTAATTCTATATAAATGATCTATTGCATGAAAGTGAAAAAAGAAAGAAAGTTTAAATGAACAACTACAATATACATTTGCGTATAAATGATATGAAAATAATGAAAAAGCAATAAACGGAATCGGAAAATGAAACGAAAGAACGATCAGGTAGAGGGAGACAGAGTAAGAGAAAACAGAGCCGATGAGATTGTGACCGCTAAATTCAATATGAGCAAAAGAAGAGTAGAGTGTGCATGATCATGTGCCAGCATACTACGTCGTGATTACTTCTGCTTATCATGTTGTGGACAATAAAATGGCTCGTGAAGAGTTCCAAAGCTTTAAAAATGAGTGATACACTATTCTACTGTTCAACTAGACAGCCGCTAAAGCAAGAAGTAAAGAGTTGTTCTTTCGGAAATGTGCCAGACTTTACATAGACTTCATGCGAATCAAATGAAACTTTCAGAGTTTGTAGGACTTGTACCAATAGGCATAGCTGTATGTTTTAAGAGTTTTAAAAACCTTGAGAAAGAGTCTGAATGGGATGAACAATTTGAGGTCTCCCGGTCAAAATCTGTTTTCGAAAATTTCTCCATTTTAGATGATTGAAAGCTAAAACTCTTAGAATAGATACTATTCAATCAGACGATCCTTTCATTAAACGGAAAATTTGTTGGATTTTTGGCAACTGAATTTCTCCCACGAGAAACAAGATTTGATTAACGATTTTATATGCATTTGAATCATCTTTTAAAGTGCTATGCAGCTATAAGGTTTGAAATAGTTTAAAAACAAAGCTGACCACTAAGAGATGGGATTTGGAGGAGAGTTTTTCTTTTTTCACTTTCATGCAATAGATCATTTATATAGAATTACCTATCCTTTTTATTTATTATTAGATCATGAACTTAAAATATGGAATCCTTTCGATAAAATTACCACCAACTAGTTGGTTACTATTNGCATGGGAAGTTTGGGAGAGAGTTTTTCTTTTTTCCTAAACTTTAGAGCTGTTTAATGAGAAAACTAAGGATTATCTCCAGGAGGAAACCTTATATGTGAGATTTTCTTGACATAGACTATAATGAAAACGTATTAACTTCCTTGGCAAATGAGTTTGAATGTTTTGAAAAATCCCTGTAGAAGTATCATGGACAATCAGTCGATCCTGAAAGTGTCGAGCCAATGTTGAAATAACATTTTTTATTTAGTTAAGTTTGGGTAAACTACGAATACATATTAGTTCCCTTACCATAATCCTTAATTTTCTCATACAACAGTCTTAAAGTTTAGGAAAAAATAAAAATCCTCTCCCAAACTTCCCTTGCCTCTTAGCGGTCAGTTTTAGTTTTAAACTCTTCCAAATCTTATAACTGAATAGTACTTTCAAAGATGATTCTAATGTATATAAAATCGTTAGTCAAGTCTTGTTTCTTATGGGAGAAATTTAGCTTCCAAAAAACCCAAAAAAGTTGATTTTTGTGGGAAAATTTTTGATCCAAAGAAAACGTCGGACAAAAGAGTTCCCGCTTAATGAAATGATCGTCTGATTGAATAGTATCTACTCTAAAAGTTTCAGCTTTTTATCAATTAAATTGGAGAAATTCCAGAAATCAGGTTTTGACTTAGAGACCCCAAATTGTCCTCCCCATTCGAGCTTCTTCTCAAGATTTTTAAAATGTTTTAAACTTACATCTGTACCTATAGGTACAAGTTTTACTAACTCTGAAAGTTTCATTCGATTTGCACGAAGTCAATGTGATTGTGGTACACTGTCGAAAGAATAACTCCAATGTAACATGGGATAAAGGTGTATTGTCAAAGCATTTCTTCAAATGACATACCAATATTAAAAGAAAACAAGATTATAGATATGGAGACATTTTTTTCTTCATCCTTATCACCTTAAGAATAATCTGCGAGCATTTTCAAAGATATAAAAGTCATGAAAATTATCTTCAGTCTACATTTATAACATTAAATTGTTTTTCTCGAATTGATGTCAGGTTTTTCTTTTTTCCTAAACTTTAAAGCTGTTTAATGAGAAAACTAAGGATTATCTCCAGGAGGAAACCTTATATGTGAGATTTTCTTGACATAGACTATAATGAAAACGTATTAACTTCCTTGGCAAATGAGTTTGAATGTTTTGAAAAATCCCTGTAGAAGTATCATGGACAATCAGTNAGATTATCTTGTGCAATTGTTTAAGCTTTGGTGGTCGTTTGGGCAAAGACAAAAAGACCTTGTATGTGACATGTATATCGACCATCATCAATTGTATTAACATGAGGATCACCAACACCAGTGACTACAATAATGAAACAATCATCATTTATATTTAATAATCTCTATTAATGAAATATGGAATAGAGAACTAAAATGAAACATTACCTATAGCTAGAGGTCGATATCCTGTACAACTACTTGGTGGATGAAGTTGATAATAGAGATAACATAGTTCCCAATCAGGACGTCCAGTTATATGCGAAGGTGAACAACATTGATCACTAAAATCATCTAATAAATACAATAAATACAAAAGAAAATAAACTTACTAGAATGAAATTCGTCTTTGTCAAGGGTATGGTAGAAAAAGAATGTATGGCTTTGATAAAACTGAACCGGCAAGACTACCAAAAGTAATTAGTCCTTGACTAAACCAGTAGTAACAACATGTCTAAAATCACAAATATATGTTGTTCATTTAATACACTATAAATGATGCATCTTCGCACTTGTGACTTGAGTAATTTAAATGTCTGACCAACATTTATCCAATTAGTAGTCCTTGGTGCATAACAAACGATACCTTGGCCATTTTCATATTGAGTTTCACTAAACAAACGACCAAAACGAGTGTCGACTTGTGCTTGTCGAAGTGTACAAGGACATGGAAATCGAGAATTTATTCCAAATGCAACAAAAATAATCTACTAGGAAAACAGAATATTAATATATACATGTACATAATATCATTTAGATTCTCCCAACGATACAATATATTTATTCTTGTTTCTTGTGAAAAGCTCACTTCTCATTGACTTAAGAAACTACCACCAGCATAAAAACTTACTTTATCACGTTGTGCTAGAAGAATATTACGGAATGAGAGATTAAAATATTTTTTAAGAAGTTAAATCAAATAGTGAGAAATGCAGCGTTTTGATAAAAAAGATTGGTCATTTAAAATTTGAATTGGAAACTTTAGTCCACGATATCTTCAGTAGTGAGAAAAAAAAGACGATTGATATTTAAATGAAATTATACAAAAAGGAATGAGTAACATACCAACAAAAGGTCTAAGATAGCCAAGATCATTCATAAGATTTGTATAATCAAATGCAATATATGATCGAAGAATTGGATAACTATAGTATCAATAATCAGATTCATATGTATTTATCAAATATGCTGAGAATGATACAAGCTTTAAAATGAAATAAACAAAGAAAAATATTAATAATAATGCTTACTATTGACTTATTAATATAAGATAATTCATATGCAAGATTTTGCCAAGTGATTCGAACAACTCTTGCGGCTACAAAATTCAATGAATAGAATAATGATGGACAAGCTAACATGATGACTGATTAAATCATATTGTTGTAAGCACTTGCACCACTACCAGTAGAATTGATTGAACTGAGCCAGCTAATAGTGACAGGTGGATAATTCTGAATAATTATTTTTACATCAATTTAGAGAAAAAAGAAAGACATTGATAAAATAAATTGCATACAGGAATATAACTCAGATCTGCCCAAAATGGAGCTGCAATAGCTTAATTGATGTATAAGGTGTATCAAATGTAATGTAACCTTTATTAGATATCTATAAACAATTTGAAAATATTTACAAACGATTACATTTACTCCACAAAATAATCATACCCAAATACGACGATAAGTTTGTTCAAAAAAATACAATGTGTTAGGTAATGAGTAAGAAATAATTCGTATGCTGGGATCTCGATCAGCAGTTGATGGAATAATAGTGATTGCTAAAGAGATTAGCAAAAAAGATAATAATTGCATTTGTGTGGATAGAAGTATAATGAAATAATTGCATACTTTCACAAGGTGGAGAAGAAGAACATGTTTCATTTCGTTGCGATTCACCACGTCCACAAAGGGAAGTTGGACAACTTTGGCCGGTACTAGCAACGATACATAATCGCACTACTTTTCGATATGCTGGTCCACAACTTGATGTACAATTAGTTAATGGTACCCAACTGGTCCATAAACAGACTATAAAGGATGAGACAAAATTAGAAACCAAATAAAATTTTGTATCATCACCTTGTCATCTCATTGCTGTTGTTTTTATTATTGTTGGTGTTCCCATTATTGTTGATGTTGTTATTGTCGTTGTCGGAATGATTGTAGATGCTACCATAGTATTGACCAGGACTGAGAAAATCATGNACTATAAATGATGCATCTTCGTACTTGTGACTTGAGTAATTTAAATGTCTGACCTAGATTTATCCAATTAGTAGTCCTTGGTGCATAACAAACGATACCTTGGCCATTTTCATATTGAGTTTCACTAAATAAACGACCAAAACGAGTGTCGACTTGTGCTTGTCGAAGTGTACAAGGACATGGAAATCGAGGATTTATTCTAAATGCAACAAAAATAATCTACTAGGAAAACAGAATATTAATACATACATTATATCATTTAGATTCTCCCAAGGATTCAATATATATATTCTTGTTTCTTGTAAAAAGCTCACTTCACATTGACTTGAGAAACGACCACCAACATAAAAAGTTAGTTTATCACGTTGTGCTAGAAGAATATTATGGAATGAGAGATAAACATATTTTTTAAGCAGTTAAATTAAATACTGAGAAACGCAGCATTTTGATAAAAAGATTGGTCATTCAAAATTTGAATTGGAAATTTTTGTCCACGATATCCTTAATAGTAAGAAAAAAAAGACGATTGATATTTAAATAAAACTATACAAAAAGCAATGAATAACATACCAACAAAAGGTCTAAGATATGCAAGGTCACTCATAAGATTTGTATAATCAAATGCAATATAAGATCGAAGAATTGGATAACTATAGTGTGAAGAATCAGATTCATATGTATTTATCAAATATGCTGAGAATGATACAATCTTTAGAATAAAATGAACAAAGAAAAATATTTAGCACTTAAAAAATATTAATAATAATGCTTACTATGGACTTATTAATATAAGATGATTCATATGCAAGATTTTGCCAAGTGATTCGAACAACTCTTGCGGCTACAAAATTCAATGAACAGAATAATGATGGACAAGCTGACATGATGACTGATTGAATCACATTGTTGTAAGTACTTGCATCACTACCAGTAGAATTGGTTGAGCTGAGCCAGTCAATAGTGATATGTGAATAATTCTGAACAATTATTTTTACATCAATTTAGAGAAAAAAGAGAGACATTGATAAAATAAATTGCTTACAGGAATATAACTCAAATCTGCCCAAAATGGAGCTGCAATAGCTTGATTGATGATTTGTTGAAAGGCAAAACTTGTCATTGTTTGACTGTAATAAGGTGTATCAAATGTAATGTAACCTTTATTAGATATCTATAAAAAATTTGAAAATATTTACAAACGATTACATTTACTCAACAAAATAATCATACCCAAATACGACGATAAGTTTGTTCAAAAAAATACAATGTGTTAGGTAATGAATAAGAAATAATTCGTATGCTGGGATCTCGATCAGCAGTTGATGGAATAATAATGATTGCTAAAGAGATTAGCAAAAAAGATAATAATTGCATTTGTGTGGATAAAAGTATAATGAAATAATTACATACTTTCACAAGGTGGAGAACAAGAACATGTTTCATTTCGTTGCGATTCATCACGTCCACAAAGAGAAGTTGGACAACTTCGGCCAGTACTAGCAACGATACATAGTCGATCCAGTATTCGATATGCTGGTCCACAACTTGGTGTACAGTGAGTTAATGGTACCCAACTGGTCCATAAACAGACTAAAGGTGAGACAAAATTAGAAACCCAAATAAAATTTTGTATCATCACCTTGTGATCTCACTGCTGTTGTTTCTATTATTGTGGGTGCTCCCATTATTGTTGATGTTGTTATTGTCGTTGTCGGAATGATTGTAGATGCTACCTTAGTATTGACCAGGACTGAGAAAATCATGGCTAGTGTGCTAGTCACAGTCGTACTACGATTGACCGTTAAAGATGATGCTGTTGCTGATGATATGGTAGTTTTTGTTGTCGATAACACATCGGTTGTTGTTTTAATGGTGCCTATGATGGTTTCAGTTCATTAGTAAGATGAGAAAAATACTTTGTATATAGTATTTTTGACTATAGTCACTCTTTTTTTAATCTTATCAAAATACTTAATTCTATTGTATTTATTCAGATTATGGTACATATGAATTGTCGTATATTTTTTTTTCTATCTGGAGAATGAAAGGATTGACATTTGTTGAATTTGATTCTTTTAAAGAAAGTGTGAATCTTCTTTAAATTATGACATTTTCGTGTAGAAAATTCGAGTATTTCTCTACGTTTCTATAAAAGTGACCACGGTGGCGGTTTGTACAGTCGCAATGAATGTATGTATTTGATATGCAGTTTTCATTGTCATGCTGGATGTATTAGTGCTGACTGAAGTTTCTAAATATGATGGTTTTTCATAATTATTACTCAACATCAAATGTGCAAGTTCTAACTATTTAATAACGGAGAGCAAAATTTTAATATGAGATGAAAGATACATCCTAAATTTTTGTCTCAAAATGACTTAAAGTGGAGAATAAAAGTTAAAGGTATTTTTTGTTCGGTGGATATTTTACTTCTGAACAGCCTGTTGAGAACACTAATTAGTGATTTCGATTGCTCTAAGAATGGGTTACAAAACTGAGATACAAATTTCCTTTGAGATCTAGTCATTTGAGTTTTACCACACAAACCATTTTACCATAACGGACAACAAAATTAAGGCTCTTTTGTACATCAGTGGATGCGGAATTTTTGATTATCATTTGTTCTAATTAATTAATAAAAATATAGGAAATTTTCATTTTAACTTTCAACTTTTTGAGTACACTCTTACAAAGAGGATCACAAATTAAGCAAATCGGTATATTGCTTTTGTTGAGATGGTTAGTTTTAAAAGGATTGTCAGCAGTTTTGTAAAATTTACTACTAGACTGTACAATTCTCTTTCTATGATTTAATGCTACAAGGTAACATTTCGAGTTTACGGTTTTGAATAAAATTCACCAGCTTTCAGTGTAATGCTTTATTTGGTCGATACAATACTGACCGTTTAATAAATTTTCTTATCCACGAAAAACATCTAGAAAGCATCGATGAAATAATTCATGAAAATGAAGAACATTGTATCGATAAAATAGTACGCTATATAGAAGATAGATCGGTCTTATTCAAAAGTATAAAGTCCAGTACTAAAATTTACTAAACTATTTGCGATACTACTAAAACGAATCATTTCGACAAAATAGGATAAAGTTTTGTTCAGTTTTTAACATTTTCTCTAAGAATGCACTTAAAAGTTTAAACCTAAAATGAAAAATTCAAATTAATTAGAAAGAAATTCGAATGACTAGACCTAAGAGAAAATTTGTATTTCAGCTTTGTAGTCCGTTTCCAGAGATGTCGAAATCACTATCTGATGTCTTCAATGGATCGTTCGGAAATAAAATATCCAGAAAACAACAATGCCTTTCACTTTTGTCCTCCACTTTAAATGATACTATTTGTGTGATTGCGACCAATGTTCTCATATTGATTTGAGTTGATTACTGGTCTAAACGATGTTTGATTGGGAATAGTGTTAGTAGATTTTTGTATAGTTCTATCATGTTCTCTGATGTGCCTATACATAGACAAAGAAAAATACTCAAAATAAATCTATCTTCAAATCTAAGATCTTTTTTTTCAAAAGATTGACCTTCTTTAAAATAAGATTATTCATTCCATTTTGATTAACTGTTGAAGATTTATTTACCTTTTCTATTGTGGAGATTTTTTCAATAATACTTACCATCTTCTTCTGTAACTCTATCACTGCCACCTATAAGAGCCGCTTGATTTAAATCAAAAGTCCAAGATACATCTAGTTTATGACTTTCAAGTGCATCTTCTTTGCCAGCTGATACAGATGATGACGAACGAATATTTTGAAAATTTACTAAACGATAATTTTCCAATAATGGCTTGTCTTGATTATAAGTATCAAACGGCGGTTGAACACATGCATCAGTATCATCACTATCATCGACAGATGTTAATTCACGTATTGCTCGCGTTAAATCAGAATAAAGACCTTGATTATATTCATCGGTCCATTCGTCAGTATCTAAATTCGAATCTGACAGCAGATCATAGTTACTTCATTAAGGTGAAGCCTCCTTCAGAAATAAACTTTTGTATTTTTCCATGAAATTCAACCACAATTTCAGAGAATGTTAATCTTGGCTAGAATAAATGATAGTTAAAATATCTTTCCAAATCTGCGAGATATTCACGAGCCAATTTTTCAGCATGAGGATTCGAGCTAAGAATGTTGGGATGATTTTTAAATTGTAGAGTACACTTAGGGCTGGATTTCAATAGAGTTCGACTTTGAATTTTTCTTTGTTTGCTTTAAAAAAAAGCCTTTTCTCTAAAATTCTCAACTTCGTAGCCAAAAAATCGCTAATTAAAATCAAAGATCTAAGTTTTTTATTTAAACAAAGGAAAAATTCAAAAAATCGGACTCTATTGGAATTCAGCCCTAAGTGCACTGTACAATTTAAAAACCATATTGACATTCTTAGCTCAAATCCTCATGTTAAAAACTTTGCCCGCGTAAAAGATATTTTTGACCAATGAAGTGACTATAACTCGTGAGTGTCTCGTAGATTTGGGGAGATACTTTAACCATAATCTATCCTAGCCAAGACTAACATTCTCTGAAATTTTGGTTGAATTCCATGAAAAAATACAAAAGTTTATTCCTGAAGGAGACTCCCTCTTAAGCTATTTTGTTTAAATGTAACATTGTAGCATAGTTTATGTCAATCATTTACAATAAACTTTTTTTGAGCATATATTACTTTATTTTGTTATTCTAACTGTAAAAAAACCTAATATCAATTGAACGCTATTATACATGTACATTGTATATGTATACAAAATAGATGCTATCAATCAAAATCTTTGTGTTTTCCGATAATAACTTCTATGAAAATAAAATAAAAGACTAATTCAATTAAATGTATCTATATATATATTAATGCATAATAATTTAAACATTGATGATTTCGAATTATTTACATATATGACTTTTGATTATTATACTATTACCTTTTGCAATAGAAGTCAAGATTGTAATTGTAATAAAATATAATAACCAGGTAGTTATTCGTAATTTTATCGAAGGAATTCTATATTTTAAGTTCATGATCTAATAATACATAAAAAGAATTATCAGTTATGCACAAACTATCGATTCAATAAGAGTGAGATAAAAAGGAAATTATCAATGAACAACTACCACATGTATGGACACACAAATGACAAAAATTTACAACAGCAATAAAAAGAACTGAAAAATCAAATAAAAAAAGTAAAGAAAAACGAGCAGGTAGAGAGACAAAAATCTATTCTATGAGATTGTGGTAGGTGAATTCAAGATGAGAAGAATGAATAGGTATTTCTCCTTTTTGAAACTATTGGCTCTCTTCTATAATTGGTTTATTTACGAGTGAGCTCATATGTGTATATGACACTGCGATAGTGCAATTATGTCGTTGGTTGCTCTGCTTAGCATACTGCGAACAATATAATGGCTTTTAAAGACTTTCGACGATATCAAAACGAATAAGACACTACTCTACTCTTCAATAGACGATCGTTAAAACAATGAGTACTTGTGAGGACGACAAAAGGTTCACTGTCAATACATTTCAAGTTGCACGTCAATGTAAAACAAGATTATGTAAGAAGACGTTTTTTTTCTTTATTCTTACAGTGCGGGCCGTAAAAAGCATGTACTTTTTTGTTTTTACGCATAAATGAGTAAAAAGGATAGTCTGAAGATTTTCTTTCATATCAGAGTTTGTAGAGAATTTTTCGCTGATCATTTTGGTAAAAAAAGTTTTTAATTTTCATTGAATAATAACGATTTTATAGCCAAAATACTAAACACTGTAAAAAATAGTAAAGAAAAAAGTTTACCAAACTTTTANTATATGCAAAACATATGTTCCACTGCAACTCGACGACTAACTTCGCGGAACTTGAAGGAACCGACTGGATTCCGACAAATAAATCCTATCGGATCTGTCCTTCGGATTTCATCGGAATCCGGTAATCGGAATGCGTCGGAAATTATGGGAATCAATTGTGATCCGATCGGATTCCGACAATCGGAATTCTATCGGATTCAGTCATCGGAATTCATCGGATTGAGACAGATCCGACAGAATCCGATGGCCCACTTTCGACCTGGGCAGTCATACATCATCAAAGTCATCTCTACACACTCAAGAGAGAGGAAGAGGAAAGAAAAGAAATGACCTTGATATGTACAGAATGGACATGTACTAAAAGGGATAGATATCGATATCATGGCAAGAAGAATAAAGAAGAAGTTGAAGAAATTTTTAAAATGGATATCTGCTATCATAATGGTTCAGAAGATTGTATGAACATGATGCTAATCTAAAAAAGGACACATTTACTTCTGCACACCTATGAACTTCAATATTGAATTTAGTTAATTTAGGTAGATTAAACAGAAGTAAAGAAAAAATTACAATATTATACTAAAGAAGAAGATATTGAAATCGTAAAAAAGGAAACAAATCAAATAAAATCTGGTAAAAAACACATAGTTACGACGAAAGTATTTCAACTAAGTTCGAGCTTTCGTCTTTATCTTTTGATCATAGATAGATCTTAGTGGAACGAAGAAACGCCTGAAAGGATTCGCATCTATGACTTTTGGCTCCAGAGATATGCTTATGCTTATGTGATACAAAGAAGGGATTCTTTCGTTTTTCAATTTACGGTGCGCGTTTCCATATTACCTTGCAGCTTAAAATATGTAAAAAAAATGGTTTGACCGAAGTATTTGAACTATTCAATATTTGAATATGCAACTAAACTACTAGATAATAAACCATGAAAAATTCAATAGGAGCAATCTTTCAAAGTGGCAAAAAGACAATGTAAAACAGTATACAAAGTACATGCATGAACAAAGAAATTTAATGGTACTAATAATCGATATAGAAGTGACGAAAACATTGCAACGTCATAAACAACAAATAAAAACAGGTGTTAGACACCTCTTTTCTTCGCACAAAAAAGAATCGAACAAGAAACAAGCTTTGATAATATTGGTTAAGTTACCAGAATAATCCTTCATATATCTGCTTTTGTACCAATTGTATCTAAATGAGTTCAGGAAAAAGATAAGCTGTCTTTTGAGAATAAATGTGTGATACTAATTTAATGATTTGATTTCGATCTGGCATTTGAAAATTTAGTTGGCCAGACTCTAGTCGATCATACATACGGCGAATAATGCTTTTCATTTGTCTGCTGAAATATACAGCGAGTGGTTGTATCTTGTTCTTTGTTACATTGGATATTTTTCATCACTTTAAATCTTTGATATTCTTATAGAGTTTCTCATCACTTTAATCTTGCCATGATTCTCAAAGAAACAAACAACTTTGTAGGTATATTGGAAAACGAGAACTTGATCGATCCAATAATCCACATGAGAACTAGTTAATTTTTTCAGATTTTGAATAAGTAACAACAATATGATCAGCTTGAAACATTCGAGATTAAGTACCTAAAATACAATCAAGTTCAAGAGATCTAAAAAAATTAAGAATTTAGGATTTACTTTTACTAATTCAATCGCTTGGCTTCTGAAGACATAAAAATATAGGTTCAACAACTTTTCATTTCATATTGACAAGAGGTTGAATGATATCAGAATGCATATTGATATTTTCAGATTTTACTCAACTAGTTGTTACCTTGTCTCCTTAGACAGGAAGCATGTGGTTATTTCGAAATTCTTTTAACTAAATTAACTTGATCGAAATTAGAAGTTTCACTTGGAGAATATTTTTCTATTTCCACTCACACAGTACAACCAAAACTTTTGACTGAAGTTCTAATTTCAAAAAAAAACATTTCTAATCGGCTGTATGCTAACAACTTTAGAAACTTTTCGAGAAACAACACGATGGTTACATTTAAAATTATAAACCGAGTGCTTATGACCAATGAATTCAGACATTGATTGTTGTAAGACATTCATCATAGTCTATCGTTTCAGATTTGCATCATGAATACATGATGATTCATTACGTACTAGTTTAAACATTGTGAACACGAAGAAATCGAGTTCGACTATTTTTGTTGTTTCAATCTGTGATGGAACGATTCACTCGTTCTGAGTTTATTTCAATAATGCTTCTTGATAGTATATATGAACGCAGTATATATATGAACGCAGAGAGAAAAACGAGAGAGAATGATTAATGAATAGAACATTAGAACATGACCGATGTGTCCGATCAGGGTCATGAAGAGTAGTGACGGGTAGAATCCGTCACACACCCCTCCGCCGCGATACGAGTGCATCGGCACGAGCAAAGACAATCATAGTGATTAAGAAGATAATGGAGTAACAAATTGAGAAAAGACAAACAAACAAATAACAACTACTTTGATAGCTAGTGAATTAGAAGATGAGAGACAACGTATAACATTGTATGAACTATTATTGTTCGATTAGGTATATGAGGAACAATAGCAACGCCAAATTGAAACAAGTGTAGAAATGAACAACAAACATCATGCAAGAAAAAATGAAATGAAGAGGAGAAAAAACACCAAACGAAATATACGCTCGTACACAATTATTGCTCGTGATCAATATAATTGAAACGGATAGACATAGCAAATGAGAAGAATACGCAAAGGGAAGAAAAGTAAAAGTTCGATTGACGATCATTGTATATGAACCGATTATTTGATTATGATAATTCGATCATCTCGGTATTAAAAGCACTTGATAATCCAGGAGATGGTTGGTCGTGGTTTGGTGAGAAGACTGTCGTTTGTTCTTGTTGTTGTGTTGGTGAGTTGATGGTGTTGAAGGTTGTTGACGATATATCAGAGCGATGATTGGTGACGTGTTGACTTGTATTAGTGTTTGCTTGTGGTGCTTGACTAAAAACTGTGTTGTATAAACGTGGTTTACGTTGAAGAGGTGGTCGACGGTGTGATTGAGGATGAGATTTAGTTGAACATGGTGGAGCATAAAATGACATAAGAGGAATTGGATTAGCAGGAGCATTGTGAAATGGTGGTTAATTAACGTCAAGTTGTAATGACATAAGGGGTTGTGGAGCAGGGGCGGCGCGACCGGGGGGGGGATAGGGGGGTCACCCCCCTCCTGCTCCAGAAAATTTTGGCTGGTACTTTCTCCGATTTTGGGGAATTTACTACGATATTTTCTCCGATTTTGGGGAATTTGCAAAGCAATTTTCTCCGATTTTGGAGAAATATACTCGATAATTTCCTCTAAATTCGGAGAAAATTCAAGTTTGGAGAACACTTTTGGGCGATTTTCTCCGATTTTCGAGAAATGTATTATCCAAAATTCTCCAAAATCGGAGAAAATTGTTTAATAGTTTCCTCCAAATTTGGATTTTTTCCGATTTTGGAGAAATTTATATAATATGTCTCAAAAATTAGGGAAAATCGCCCAAAAATGTTCTCCAAACTTGAATTTTCTGCGATTTTATACAATAGTGTTGAATATATTTTTATGAATCCAGAAAAATCCAATTTTGGAGAAATATATTACAAAATTTTGATTCGGAGAAAATTTCAGTTTAGCGAACACTTTTTGACTTTTTCCGATTTTAGGACTGACCCCCCTCCTGCTCCAACCTCTTCGCGCCGTCCCTGAGCATATTCCATTGCGTATATGAATGTGCAATTTTAATAAACTGTTTACCGAAAACTTATACCGACTACATGGGATCGGTGTTTAATAATTTATCTGACATATCCGTACTGTGTGAACGTGTCAATGCTTTAGTGAATACTGAATCAGAAGAGTCAGTAGACTCATTGCTAATAAATCACTTTCAGTATTTTCCCTGAAACTGTGTAATTCAAACAAATAGTCCTAATAAATTGATCAAAATTTGTATTAAAAAATCACAAACCTTATACATATTCTTTTTCCGATCAATAATTTTCATTGTTTTATATGGTGTCCATCGTCCAACATCACCTGTATGTAACCAACCATCTTCATCAATAACTTCACGCGTTTTAGCTTCATCTTTTAAATAACCACTAAATACAGCTTTACTTTTTATACATATTTCTCCAACACCATCTTTGGCATAATAATCTTTTTCTGGTACATCAACTAATTTAATATGATTAAATATCGTTGGAATACCTGTTTCACCTGATTCCATATCATGTAATGTTTGCCAACAACCAATAACACATTCTGTTTGTCCATATGCTTCAATAAGAAAACAAGAAAATGCTGCACGTGCAAATTGACACACTTCAGCTGAAAGTGGTGCACTTGATGAAACAACACGTCGAACTTGTCCACCAAATTGTCGACGAACTTTGTCAAATAAAATTTTATCCCATATTGTATTTTGTGAAAAATCACCACGCTTTATTAATGCTAATTTACTATAAATGGCTAAACGAAATAAAATTCGGCCAAGTAAACCTTTTTTAAGAATTTCCGATCGAACTTTATCATATAATCTATTGAGTAAACGTGGCACCATTGAAAGTAATGTTGGACGAAAATCACGAAAATCATCTAATAATTTATCAACTTTACCTTGCCAAAATCCAACTTCTCCACCTATGAAACGAAAGAAAAATTCACGAAGAAATATTTTATTGATCAATAATAAATCTTACCTAAATAAGTTATTGCCACAACTGTTCCACAACCAAACATATGTGCCATTGGTAAAAAATTTAATGCACGAGGAACTTCATTGATTGCTAATGAATCTAAATCGATAGCTGTAGCACAACCAAACATTGCAGTAATAAAATTTTCATGTGTAATTATGCAACCTATTAAATTTTTAAATATTTAATTTAAAATTAAAGTTTTTAAAATTTTATAATTTCTAATACCTTTTGGTTCTCCTGTACTTCCACTTGTATACATAATTAAAGCAGTATCATTGGCATTTGGTGGTACAAAGTCAATTAAATTATTTCGACCAATTTCTCGTAATTGGTCATATGTTAAAAGTTTAAGATTTTTTTCTTCGGCAGCTTTCAATAATTCTGATGTTGGTTCAATAAATGTAATTATTAGTTTTAATGCTAATGTATCATCTTTCCATTCAATTAGATGACGTACACGTGTTATATCATCAGCAAATATTAATTCAACTCCAGCATGTCTTATTATATATCGAACACCATCTTGACCAAGTGAATCATATATACCAATGGGTACCAATGAAAATGGCCAACAGGAATATAAAGCTAATGCATAATTAACTGAAGCTGAACCATATATACCAATAAATGTTTTATTTGATATTGTAAGACCAAGACTAGCTATACCACTACCAGTTTCCTGCATTATTTGAAATACTTGTCTGTTAAAAAAAGAAAAGAAAGAAAGAAATAGGAATATTTCTATTTATTTATTTTATAATAGGAAATAAGTAGGAAAATATTTGTTGTTATTTTCAAATACAACACTATTATAAATAAAGTTAGATGAGGGATTCAAAAATACATTAAATAATACTATTGGTATATAGGTGGGAATGTTTTGATCGCATCGAACTAATAATTACTCTAATTCAATAATCGTTACCAAATACCGAGTATGACAAGTGCGTCTTTATTATTGGTTGCCATTATTTTTTTTTCTGTTATTGATCAGTACCTAGAATATCTTTTGCATTATTTCGATAAACACCAATGTGTGGGTTCCAGTGTTTTTAGTTCTGATTCAAGAACTTATTCTTTTCGCATCTAAACAAATTCTTTAGCACTCATTTTTTGATTTATATAGTTTAAGACTAGTACTTTTTGGGTTATCTCTCTTAGATTGTGTTCTGATCGATATGATTTATCAGATTATTCGCTTAAAACTATAGAATTTTTGACTACATACGGCACTTCACATGATTTTTCGCCTGACTCTCCTAAAAATCTTGATTTGAATATAACTATTGTACCATAATGCTTAGACATATTTAGGATTACGTTTTGTTCATCGTTCAATTAGTTCATTTCTTTCAAACCAGTCATACATCATTTTCAATATGACTTATGAGCTCTCACACGAACGGTTTCCAACTATAATTTTATATGATTGAACTACCATTACCTTAACGTACAAGAAAACCCATGTCCGCTTAATGTAGGTCTGGAAGAGAAACAAGCACCTTCTAAGCATATAATTTTCAATAGGTTTCATAAATTTCAACAGAGCAACTACAATATTGAAGATACTGTCTGTTGAGGTCGTCTTCAAATTGTTGTCAACGAAGCAACAACTGATATCCTTCGAAAAATAGTGGAAAACCATCCTCATTCAACATTCAAACAGATAGGAAGGACATTCTGGGCATCAATTCGTCAGCAATCGAGTCAATTGTTTACGACTATTTGAACCTAAGAAAAGTTTATACTCGATGGGTGACTCATCAACTAACTGAGTATCAAAAACAGCCGCGTATTCAAGTTTGTCACCAGTCATTCAAACAATTCGAAAAAGGTCATTCCCATCGTGTATTCGACATTAGAGCCGTGATCAACCAAAATCCATCAGAATAAAAGTTTAGGCAAACGAATGGCGACAGTTGTCTTTATGAAATCACGTTTTATCAAGTCTATATGATTAGAGCCTGGTGAGAGGATAAATCAAGGTGAAAATAGAGTACTTTGTAGTTGAAGTTAATTTGCGTCACTTCACAACACTTCGAGCTACTTTAAAGTACTTTGGTCTAATTTTAAAATACCTTATCCTGCTTTAGTTTACTTTAGACGTTACTTTACTCTACTTTACTGTACCTGTAGTCCACCGTTAATCCCTTGCGATAAATGCTAGTTGGTATGTCAATATCTGTCTACCATAAGTCTTCAAAACACTATTCGAATGAAGAAAAACGACCGACCTTCGGGATCTGATTTTTCATGACGATAAAGCAACTACGCAGGATTCAATTTGACGACTGCATCACAGTGTTGGACACATTAGAACAAACCATCTATACTCTGACAAAAGACAAGTTCAAAAACTTCTTTATTCAAATACACAAGTAAATTGAAGATAAAGGACAGTACTTGAAAAAAATACACTAGAACCAGTCTTTGATTATTTGTCTGAAGAGATGACGAGAAAATCTTTGGAGTGCTCCATGTATAATCTTTATTTTCGATTGAGACAACTATTTTTCTCATAGGTTCGATCCCGGTCTCATCACTTTTTCTCTCTAGTGACCCCGATCGCGTACATTTTCTGTTCTACTAGATGAGTCAGCATATATTATAGTCTAATGTTTTTCAAGGGCATGTAATGTCAATAAAATTCTTAAAAATGATCTTACTTATAAGTATAAGATTGAAATGATTCATCTGATGATTTCCTATATGAAAATTGTGGTCGATTACCACCAGCCTGTAAACCATGTAAAATAACATCATATAATGTTTGTACACCAATGGAACTAAAATCTTTTAATTTATCAGCACAATCTGGATGAGCATAAATATGTTTTTCGGGATCAATTTCAACAGCGCCTTTCCGTTTAATTGGTTTTTTAAAAATAATTTTTAAAATTTTCGTATAAGAATTAATTAACAAACTAATAATTATAACCAAACCAGTTATTAAAGCTGTAACCATACACGATGCCATACGTACTATTATAAACAAAGAAAAATAGTTAATACATATACATGCATACATATATATAAATTTAAATGTTTTTACAGTCACCTGATGATGATCACTCGAAAAAACTCTAGCTTCTTGAATCTTGTTTTTACTATTGTTAGAATAAATAAGAAAAGTGCTTTTTCATATATACTGACGTACATCAGATAGATAACGAATTTAAAAGGTAAGGGATACATTTTGTTTTCTTCTTCTTTCTTTTCTCGTTTTCCTCTATATAGTCTGCAATAATGTTCTTCTTTTACAAAAGACACACTACAAACGGTTATTTATATTAGTAACGGACTTACAATGCACACACTTTATCACATACAAATATATATGAAACATTAAACAAAACATAGATTCATACTTTTTTTTACTTAAATATGAATCTAATATTTAAAAAATGTTTTCTCTACTTTTAATTTGTAAAATTAGAGAAAAAAAGAAAAAAATATACTAGTAGTACAAATTTATCCTTGTCGAAAAAATGACGTATTTCTTTTTGCACAAGAATATTTCTGGACTTCTACGACTAATCCAACATTTGATTATGCAATAATGGGTAAAAAGAAAGTGAAAAAAACTCTTCTTTTAAGTTGCTACGTCATACATTTAAAATAATTCGTTGCATTCCTGTGCAATAGGAAAAGGTTTATTTAAATAAAAAGAGAAGTGAATACTCTGAATCATTATGACAATGTGTCACCATAGAATTGATTACTAGAACAAAAGAAAAAAAAAAAAAGCATACTTTTTCGAACTAATTATTGTTCAATATCTTTGGGAACTGAATCATAGAAGTGCAAAATATTTAATAGATATTCTTTCAATGTCATTGGTAACTAATTTCATTTGTCCAGGGAAACAATGTTAGCACAAAAATAATAATGAAAAAAGAAAGAATTACAAAGGAAGTTAATGTGTGCGTGACAATACTGATTACTGTTGTATTTCTTTTTTTTTTTCTTCTAATGATAGCAACACAACTGAATAAAATACTCATGAGATATGTTCAAATTTAATACTTAAGTTCAAGGATACATTACTATTTATTTTATCACAAAGTACTGTTGCTATATGCATTTAGTACAATATACCTAACTCATGTAATTAAGAAAATTACATTGTTGAACTCTTTTTAAATTATATTTCTCTAAATTAATTAATAATTAAAAGCAAAAAGAGCCATCCAAAGTTTTTATTTTATTGTATCTTTACTAACTAATTTGTTTTTTAATGAAATAAAATTTTTTTCATTGTTTTTTTTTTCTTAACCAGCTCTATGATTTTCTTGAAATCGACGTCGTTGCATTACAAACCATTGTAAGTAAGCTGTATTCTGTACTCGAGATATACCTGTAAACATGTCGGGATGTATAATATCTAAAATAAATATTTGTCTATTTAGTTCTTTTCTTTTAGGTACTTATATGTTAAATATATGATTCAACTTACAGAATAAATAGGCATAAACAAAAGAAAATATTATGATAATAACATTGAATAATATCAAATAATATTCATCATCTGTTAGATTGGGTAAAAAATATCGTATAGGTAATGAAAATAAATTAAATCCATTAAGTATATATTCACTTATTAAATAAACATATACAGTTACAATTGGAATATGTCTTTCTATAATAATTAATATGAAATAAGTTAAAAAAATTAACAAAATAAATATTATATATGTCATAAAAGCAATTAAAAAATATTGTCGAATATGTTTCGACAATCGTATCATTATAAAATCAAAATATATAAATTGTATACGACGAAGAAATTACAAAAGAAAATCAACAACAACAGAACAAATAATTATATACAATTAATTAAATAAACAAAACATATATCGAAATATAAAAAAAAAAACAAAAACAAACAAAAAGGAATAGTCAAGGCAACCAATTTATTAAATTATATCAATTGACATAGATAAATTTTCATATAGAGTCTTGAACAAAAATAGTTGCATCGCCATGCGATGTTTCTATTTTCTTAATAATATAGAGTTGATATTTTGGGATAGATACATGTGAGTGATAATAAACTCTCATTGCAAGTAACAACCCACTCTTTATCGATTCACACAATTTTTTCTCGATTATGTCGAATTTTTTCCCGCAGAATTTTGGCAATTTCCGCCGGAATCTTAACAACAGAAAGAAAAAGCTTATCGAAATTCCGGTTTACCAATAAGTCACAATGGAATGAAGCAAGAATGTCAGTAAAACTGTAATTTCAGTAATTTGTCCAATTTTCCGCCGGGATTTTGACAATCCTTTTATAATTGAACAAAGTGTCAAAATTATGGTAGCGAAATTACAGTCTACCTTCTTTCTCATATGTAAAATATATTCAACGGAAATATACATTCAAAAAAAAAAACAATTTTTTTTTGTTTGGCATTTTGCTATTCCACGAGCTACTACTACGTTTTTTTTTCTAGCAATAACAGCAGTCCCATATGTCTACTTTATGATCACTAAAGTCCTTGACATATAGTCAAGATCTTAGTAATAATTAGTACATTCTGATAGAGTGAACATATGTTATAGCGCTAATTCTATTTCACTCAATGCTGCAACTATAAAACTTACACAACAGATTTGTAGCCTCATGGGAATTTTCTAATAAAAATGATCAAATTCATCGTGAAAAGGATTTATCTTACTAAAAGCTAACACTTGTTCTTCAATACACAATTTTTATGAAAAGATAATATCTCAGTTATTTTTATGTGACTTCAAACAAAATTCGAACTAGAAATACCTACGAAATTTGGCTTTTGAAGGACGAGTTGAATGAAAATATTTGTGGCATCATTATTTAGATAAGATGATCACAAGAAAAAGATGATGTCTAAATCATAAATCTAATATATAAGAACCTCATAGTAACGGTTAACTACTTTTGTTTAGAACTATAAAAGATGTAAATCTCATTAAAAACTTTTATTTTTTTAACACTATAAAGGAAAAATTTAAGAAAGAGCTTGAAGTCTGCTGTTTATTTCGAGAAGAAAACTAAAAATTTTGCATTATCTATATAGAATTATGATAATAAACAGTATATCTCTGTATTCAATTTCTTAGAATAAATGATGAAATACTTAATATGCCATGTTATATTTCTCATCACATGTTATTTATTCTCAGAATGACACATATGTGGCGCAGTTCTTGTCGTCATTGATGATTGGATTATTACTACATTTGTCTATATCATCCAGGTCAATACAAACGACGCATCTTATTTGTTTGATTATTTTTCAATCTCATGATCGTTTCCGGCCTTACACTTATACTACAAATATATCTTTGTTTACCTATTCTGAAAGTTTCAGTCCTATTGAATAACAACTCAATGAAAAGAAACGAAAAAAAAATATATTTGATATATTAGTGTTCTTGCTGAATTTTATGGGCTTTTTTCAATAATCTTAATTTTTGATAATTAGTCGTTTCCGGATTTTTGTCACACTTGTTGGATAAACTTATTCACAAAAAAGATTCATTCATCGAAAATTATTTCTCAACAAAATTTTAAGATGAATTAAGTATAATAGTATATATATAGGACTAAGCAACAATGATAAGAACAAAAAAAAAACAGATCTAAAAAAAGAATGTGTACATCGTTCATTATGACCTTGAAGATATAAAAATAGATCGTTTTTTTCTAATAATACATTTCTAATTCAATCAATGATTTGAAAGACCTACATCCTACACATGCACACACAAAAAAAACGTTCGATTCTCTATCTCACAAGATTGTAGAGAAACTTCCATCTAAAAGATACATCGGAATATGTTTCAATGCTCTACAATAATATGAAGCCCTTGAAAATCTAACATTTTCTAAGATTATAGTCCTCTTCTCTGGATTGGACTAAGAATGCACCAATTCCTTCTTTTTCATACAAACAATTGCGTATCTTCAGTATGTTAAACCGCTGATTCCGACTAATTCTTCACGAGAAACATTGTGTGCTTTGTCGTTCTCTCTAATGTTATCATCGTATTTCATCCAATACGATAATAGAATCAAAGAGTGAGAGAGAAACCATTCAAAATGGACTTAATCACATTCGAAGGATCAGTAATTTGAATAACCACAAATATGCAATTGTTTGTAGTAAAAACAAAATTAAGAATAGATACATCTTTCGATCGGATCAAAGACAATTCCAACATAGCTTATCGTTAATCATTCGAATCGATGCAAATTAGACTTTTAGTAGAACATCAAAAGCTTAGAACAATGTCATTCATACATATATATATATAAATATATTTAGTTTCATCGTTAAAAACAAAAAACTATTTACATAATAAAGTAAAAGAAAAATAAAGAATATGATCTTTAATGATGTTTGTCAATGCATAGATTGAAATATGAATTATATCGCTATTTATAATCACAAATCGAAACCAAACATAAAAATAAAATTGTTTCTCTGTTAAATATAAAATAAAAATTATTTGTTGTTATTTATTTTAATAGATATTAATTTGTTCAAGTGCTTTAACAGCTTCAGCTGGTAAATCTTGACCAAGTTCTTTATAAAGTGATTGTAAGACTTGTAATTCTTTCATTAATGAATCGACTCGTTCATTTAATGTACGATTTTCTTCTGCCAATTTATTCATACGCGTTTCTGTTTCTTTTTGTTTTTGTTTTGCTTTCAATCGACTATTTTTAACTGATTCATTATTTTTTAAACGTTGATGATGATATTCATCCGAATATTTGACGACTTTTTTATTTCCAAATCTTGCTAATTTACATTTGGAAATTTCATCTTTCTTTGTTTCACTTGAATTCATATCATTCGATCGTTAAATGGTATGTATGAAGAAGAATTTTATGTCAAAAAAAAAAAAAAACAATAATAAGAAAAAATAAAATTCTATTGGATGATTATTTTATCCAATAAAAATTTGTTCTATTTCGAAACAAAAAACACTGTCTACAGATGACTCGTATAATCAGTGAAGAACATTTTTTTTGGCCCATATTAATTGAATTATTAAAAACTTTGATTAAATTTCAAGTTCATTTATTCTGTATTATTTGTTGCTTTGTGAAAAAAAAACGATTGGTTGTTTAATAATTTTTCCATATTAGTTTTATAACGTCGTTCAGATATTTGATTAGCTGATGTTTCACTGAATGGCATGACGACATTAAAGATTGTCTTTCATCTTTTGATAAGACATAGTATCAGAAGATAGGATACTTTTGTGATCCTGGAGAACATTACCCCTTAAATGTTTTCACATATTCACTGTGAAGCATCTGTTATACAAATATTCATTTTAACAACAAAAAAACAAAACAAAACAACAACTTCATTTTATTTACGACGAGTATGATTCATTCTCATGACTAAACGAGAACGAGATGATTACTAATTCACTGAATATGAATATAACTGGTGCATTGGTTTTTTTCTCCTCTAGTTGTATAAATCATCAACATGTATGAATAATTATTTGATTTGAGCTGTTTTGTCGAAAAACAAAATAAAATATTCAATGCTATGCATAAACATCAATGTAGTATCGTTTTATATGCATGATTTATTAATCATATTTAAAATAAACTTATGAAAAGAACAAGCAAGCGACAAAATACAATATAATTTCAAATTAACTCCTCAGCTCATTTTCTCTTTATAACAATAAAAACTTTTTTTTTTATAGTAACATGCTGGTAGCACGTTGAGGTATACACACACATATATATATATAAATATATATATATTTGTAATTCATGATTACATTTTATATCAAGAAAACTATTTCTAAGCCTGATTACATTCGCTTTTTTTTGAAAAAAAAAGCAAGAAAAAGATAATTGAACACAATTGATTAATTCCATAATCGAGAACCAGTCATTGTTCAAGGTGCAATAATTCGTTCCAATGGTTGCCCACCTTCCATTGTTGAATCTGGTTTAAGTCCTTTATAAAGTGATCGTAACACTTGTATTTCTTGCATTAATAAATCTACACGATCATTTAATAAGCGATTTTCTTCTGTTAATTTATTCATTTGTACTTCACCTGTTTTTTGTTTTTCTTTGGCTTTCATTCGACTTTTTTTAACTGCTTCATTGTTTTTTACGCGTCGACTATGATATTCATCTGAATATTTAATAACTTGTTTATTTCCAAAACGTGCTAATCTGCCAGCAGGACCACTAGTTTTTTTCACTTTACGTTGAATAACATCATCATGTTCGCTATAATCGGATTGTTGTGAGCTAACTGAAGAAATTGTTGTTTCTTCATGTGTTGATTCGAATGGTAATGATGAAGAAACTTCATGATCAGAATAGTTTTCAGATTGTTCCATAGGAACATCGGTAAGTGGTTGAATTGTCATTATAGGATCGAAATTAAGAAGTTGATCAAATGTTACAGGATCGTCCGGAAAATTGTCAAATAAATCACTTTCAAAGTCAATATCAGGTAATGGTGTTGATAAATTAGTATTGTCAAGAATTTGTTGAATAAATGAGGTATCGCCGATAGGTATATCTAATGATGGTTCAAGGTTTGTATAAGTCGACGATGCCGAAGGAGTAGATTCACTATTAAAGACACTTATAAGTGACCCGTCGAAGCTGTGTACCTGAAGTGAAGATGAGAGTTTTAATTGATTTTCTATATTCATTATAGCATCATTATATGCTGCTGCTGAGAGCTTTATATTATCTGCTTGCTTCTTAGAATTCTCTTCCTTCTCTATTATGTCTGTGAGTTCATATTTAATAAATGGATCATAATGATCATCCTTACCAAATCGGAAGACGCAGCTAATTTCGTCGGGTATTGCAGCGAATCTATCGCTTCCTGGTTGAATAGGGATTGTGGTATGCTTAGTGCCGGACATGTTGTTTGTGTTGAATCGTCAAAGAATGAAAAGGGTGAATAAGCCGTTGTAACTTTTGTCTCTTGTTCCTTTGTATTAGACAGGGCTAATGTCGCTTGATAAATTCGGTTTTGTGTGCAAATATGGACCTTCACTGTTTGAGTTGTCGAAGAATTTGTTGAAGACAATGTATTGAGTATTTGTTGTGTGTGCGTGAGTGAGTGTATGTTAATAAAAGTGGTCGTAATGTTGAAATTTCTTTTCTTTTTATAGATACGTTGCTTTTTCTATGTTTCTCTATTTTTTCTCTCTTTTTTTTTTATATTTCGTAATTACAAATCAAGATATTGCACCATAGACTGTTAATTGTGTGTCATGTTTCTCCCTCTTTCTCTCCTTGTTTTTTTTCTAAGCTGCTCTTTTTTTTCACTTTGAAGACGAAGAAGGAAGAAGAAAGATCTAGAGAGCAAGCAGACAAAAAAAAAACAACAAACGTCATTATCAATGACATGACTCATGAAAGAAAAAAAACCCAACAGAACGAGAAGAAATCCTTACTAGTAATATTATGTTATTATTGTTGAATGTTGGCTGGCGTTCGTAGTTACGATGTGTAATGATGACGTGTAATATAGAATTTATCTCAGTTTACGTGGCAGGGTTATATACCGAGATATATAAATATATATTTAAATTTAAAATATATATATTCACAGTAAAAATGGTGTACCAAAAAAATAATGAAGAAATAAGCTGTTCCAGTGTTTTGTATATATAGATATATAAAACGTTGTAGACGAGGAGGTATTGCGTGAGACAAATGTCGTAGTTATTTTGTCCTTGCACAATTACATCACTTTTATAGAATGGAACAAAGATAGAAATATTTTTTTGTTTCTCAAGTTTTCTCGATTTAGATGAATCAGATATTGATGAGATGGAAAAAACGATACCTCGAATATGATTTTATTATATTGAGGAATTGAAATGATAGATAATTAATAAATTAATGAAATAGAACAATAGTTATTCATTTAATAGAAACTCAATAATTAATTAATCGAATTAATTTTGTTAATGAATAAATTCTCTAAAAGTGATTTTGACATTGACAGGCTAAATTACATGAATATAACATCAATTTTTTTGTATATTATATTTTTATTTCGCGTCATAATATGATCTTAAAATATATTATCGTGAATAATGAATATCTTAGAAATATTATATCATTCTCAATCAAACGATAAAATCAATTTATCAAATTATATCTTTTTATTTAATATAGTAATATGATCTGTCTTAAGCTATTTTCTAGTCTAATTATAAAAACATTATCGGCTTTTAATACTATTCAATGAATACATCAATATAATAAATACCTTTTTAGTTTATATTATTGACATATTATATATATTATGAATTATTAAAATAGTTAACTGATATTTTCAAAGTATAATTTTTTTTTTATCACATCGTTCATGTATGTGCGGTTATGTCTAGTGTTTTATCCAGCATGGGGACGATGTTTCTCTGAAAATCAGAACAGCTCTATTGAATTTTGTAGTTAATGTATCACATACTATATGTCTGAGGTTCCAAAAATTGGCGGTGGTTCTGTCGAAGTTCTAAATTGCTTCTCCTGACAAGAAAATCTGTATAAAACACAAAGTCATAATATACACTATTACATGTCCATTATATGTAAAACTTGATCCTCATGACAAAATAACATTCTTTCCTTGGTATATAATCCTTTAACAAACTTTATAGAATGAAGCTGATATTATGTACAGCTGTATTATTTTTACGTCTTACTATTTTTTTGTTTTTTTTTCTGTGTTTCGATTTGGTTTTACGTGATTTTTTGCTAAGGAACTGGTATAGAATATTTATTTCGTTTAACGAGTAGATTTTTTTATGTCAATATTTATATTTATAGTTGTAATGATTATATCTATTATCAAAGTTGATGTTGTTGAATTTTTATTGAATAATATAAAAGAGTTATTTATTCAATCTTAATGGCAAAGATAAATTTATTTATTGACATTTTTCTTTTGAAGTTCGAAAATAGGGGAAATAAAGCTCATGAATAAACTAATCTTTCTTCAATTCTAATAAGTCGAGATTTTTGTTATGTTTTTAAATATTACAATGATTTAATACTGGTAAACATTGTTCAATGTTTTCAATACTTTCATCAAAAGAAAATGGCTTCGAATACTCGACTATACGATAATATATGGATAATTCTATCGTACGTGTGACACGCTATACAAGACTTTCTTTACATCAATTTTCATGTTTGAAATCGTGTAGAGCATAGTCAATTGACTTACTAAAATAAGAAAATATGCACTATAAATTCTAATGTTGCAGAGATTAGCAATTCATAAGATTAATGTGAAAAATAGCTAATTCTGTATAATAACACTATAAATAAAGCCAAAATGTCTATCATCATATCTCGTTAACGCAGAGTTTTGACACACAGTGACATAGCAGACTTTGTAGAGCGAAATTTGCTCTGCACGTCTATATAAAACCCTTTTTTAAGGGAGTATCAAATAGGGACTATTTCAGGACGAAATTATTATCATAATTAATTCAGGTATAGTTATATATACTATTACATGATAAAAATTTCCATGTTACAATAGTCTATGTTTGGTACTCCCCTGAAAAGTGTAATATCAGGGCGTGTAGAGCAAACTTTGCTCTACAAAACGTGCTTTATCTTTATATGCCTAAATTCTGCGTTAACGAGATATGATGATGGACATTTTGACTTTATTTATAGTGTTATTATAGAGAATTAGCTATTTTTCGCATTAATCTTATGGATCACTAATCTCTTCGACATCAGAATTTGTCGTGAATCGTTTTTTTTCTTTTGGTAAGTAAATCGACTATGCTCTGCACTAACTTTTCGGAAGAAGACTATTCTGTACCAATGTTCTGAAAGGAAGTTTTTTTTTTCTATGTTAATAGTCTAGTAAGATATAACATCATCGAAAACAGTCTGAGATAACAAGCAAAACCTTTTTTGGAGATATAAAGTGTGGAAAACAACATCATTTTTTAGGAACACTCTGCACATATAAACGGTATCCCATAACAACTGATGATAAATTGTTAAGTATATTTTTTTCTTGACATAGAGAGCTGAAATTTTTATCACATATATATCTAATCAAGATCTTTTATGTCGGAAAGTTTCAGCTCTGTATGCAAAAGAAAAAGTATGAAAAATATGATTAACAATTTCTTAGAGAATACATTTTATGTATGTGGAGTATTCCTAAAAAAAACATGATTTTTCACACTTTATGTCTCCAAAAAGATTTTAATTGTTGCCTCAGGCCCTTTTCGACGACGTTACGTCTAATTAGCCTATTCAAATTGGAAAAAAAATTCCCTGAAAGTCGTAGAAATCCCACGGATTCACCCTCCTATATATATATAACAGGGTAATGGGAAAGTTTCAATGTGTCGTGGAAAAATACACATTAAGAAAGGGAAAATGAGACTTGAAAAATTCCAACACACATGAATAGTGACCAGTAGGGAAAATCCAATCAGTCACTACAACACAGGTAAGAATAAAATGCTTTTTTCATTTATTATTTCATTATTCAAATGATTAAATCTGCTTCATTGAATTTAATGATATAGATTTACTTTTTTTCTATTACTGATAGTCGGTTTCACAATATGGTAGATATGCCTCTTCTGAAATTTGTCTATTAAAAGTGTGAAATTCTTTACCGTTGTTACTAGCTAATATCAATGCAATCTGTAAGAGACGATTATCTTTGGAGTCATGGTAAATTTCAATTTTTAAGAAATTCAAATTTCTGCACATCATTATATAATGAGTGATGCAAGTCAAAGGATATTACTAGAATAATGCTGATAAAATGTCACTGATGTACAGTTAAGTTTGATTTTTACACATTCATTTAAAGGGATAAAGTTTCTTATTTCGTGCTGGTTCATGCTGAAGAATTCATTGTTACTATGAAAAGTATATAGGAAGGAAGTCCTTATCTTTGGGCTTGAGTCAGGTCATGCCAATCATCTTATTACTGTTAACGATTAGCATACGCTTCATTGAGTAACTTGTTATTGATGAGTAGTGCTATAAGTTAATTATTTTTATTTCTCTTTCAGTTCTGAACTATATTTATAATAAAATATTAGCTAGCACATATCTATGTAAGTGATAAAAAAACGAATGAAACCAAGATAAGAATGTGAATGCAGACATTGGTGTAAGTACGATTCTTTTCTTTACTCATCGACATCGTTCCTAATCTAACTTAGCCCAGTTCTAGACATATATACTTCATTTTTATATTCATATTATATTGAAATCAATTTTCTACGCTTATCTTTCAAATTACTGATGTAAATTTCCGCGCAAGTTTGCTTATAGTTATTTCAGTTGAAGTTTCTGAAAATAGGAACTTATCATCTCATGTTATCTTCACTCATTCATTGGATATTATGAATATAAAAACAAAAAGGTGTGAGTCGAAAAAGTTAATGCTATTCTCCATTTTTTTTTCTATAGAAGCTGATCTCATCAATAGAAATAAAATGACTTGATGATATGGACACTTCATACTTATTTCTCTTTATCTTCATCAACTAATCAAAATATGTCTTGGACTTATCTTGACCATAACAAACGAGAGCTAAAGAGATTTACTTTTTTTTTTTCGAAGTCTATGAAGTTTTTCATGATATATAACAGGTTTTACATGTACTTAAACTGACTCATCATCTAGAAGAGTCAGCTGTCATTTTCACACACGATATTTCGATTTAACAGTAGGATACATACCAAAATTTATTGAAAAATCTCAAGAAAATAGTAACTGTCAGAAAATTCAACAAATGAGACTTGATTTGATGATTTTAATTGATTGTCGTTTCCAATAGCAACATAGAAACGTATGTCCTTTAAACTTTTTAGGAAATTTCCACATATAGTTCAGCTATGATACTTTGAA